GCCAGGAGGATGCGACGGCGGTCGACGGAGCAGGGCCGGCAATGACGCGACGTGGGTGGCCCAAGGGCACCAGTAGCGACGTTGATAGGAGCGCACGCTGTGGGCGTGGGAAGGAGCAGCCGCACGCCCCTGGCAGCCGGCCACCGTGGCCAGCCGGGCATGGCCAGGCACGTGCGTGCGCGGCCAGCGTGCCAACAACGGCACAGGGTAGTGGTGACCGCGTCCATGCGATGAACTGGCTGGAAACGTCATGCGCACGACTTTTAAAGCATTCCAAAAATCAAACTCGATGATTCAAATGCCAAACCAGTTTTTCTATACTCAAGAGGGTATGTTAAACTACTGAAACAAGCCCTAATACCACACCATTACTTAACCCAAATCTCCTACAAAAATTGCCGAACTTAGCTTCGTCAAAACGTTGTCCGACTTAGGAAATTCGACTAAGTCTCAAACGGTTTCGCGTCGAATTCGATTTCCAAGCTATTCGATACGCTAGCTAGTGAATTCCATTCTTGACCGTAAGTATTTCACCGTCACCTACGAAGCTTGTACTACAAACCCTATTAAAGTCCCGCATATACGTTCTATAGTATTCTTGCTCAATAAAAATTAGTTTAGAACCCTATGTGATATAACGCAACATGAAATATAACATTCGTTTCGCGTTTCTGATGAACGTTTCAAGTAACGTACATTGCTTTACACCCTATATTACACACATTTACACATAAATATGATGCTCATGTAGTGTTTTAGCAAAGACTATACAGTGTAACACCGAGGGTGTTACAAATCTACCCCCCTAAAACAAAATCTCGACCCGAGATTTCATGTGCCTAATGTGGGAAAGGAGATAGGAAATACATTTCAATGTAAAGCACTACCTATCTGAACCAACGAGAAGATGGGGGTAATGCTTCAATATATAGCTCTGTTGTTCCCATGTGGCTTCATCCTATGAGTGGTTTTGCCACTGCACCTTGTAGAACTTCACCACATTGTTCCTTGTCACTCTTTCCTTTTCGTCCAGGATTTTGACAGGGTGCTCAATATAAGTCAAATCAGGATGAAGTGGAAGTCCTTCAATTTCTACAGCTTCATCAAGGATCCGCAAACATTTCTTCAACTATGAGACGTGAAACACATCGTGTATCGCCGATAAAATATCGGAAAGCTAGAGACAATAAGCAACTTGGCCACACCGTGACAAAACCTTGTAAGGACCCACATATCGAGGGGCTAGCTTGCCTTGGATACCAAACCGATGCACCCCTCTCATAGGAGACACCTTGAGGTACACATGATCCCCAACTGCAAACTGCAAGGGCCTTCTTCGCTTGTCCGCATACACTTTCTGTTGGCTCTGAGCCGCCTTCAAGTGACTTTGAATAATGCTTACTTGCTCTCGAGCCTCTTTTATAAAATCGGGCCCAAAATATCCACAGTCTTCCCCTTCAACCTAGTTAAGTGGTGTCCTACATTTCTTTCCATATAGAGCTTCAAATGGTGCCATACGAATGCTCTCTTGGTAACTATTATTGTAAGAAAATTCAGCTAACTTCAGGCATCCATCCCAGTTCTCAGGAAAAGAAATGGCACAAGCTCTCAACATATCCTCGAGCACCTGGTTCATCCTTTTAGTTTGGTCTTTAGTTTGTGGATGATATGTTGAGCTTCTGAGGAGACGAGTACCAAGATATTGTTGTAGTTGCTTCCAAAAACGAGAGACAAAAACTGACCCTCTATCAGAGATGATAGTAAGGGGAACACCATGTAGGGTCACAATTCGATCAAAATATATCTCAGCACACTTCTTGGATGTATATCTAGTGTCCACCGGGATAAAATGAGCAGATTTAGTGAGACGGTCCACAATGACCCAAATAGAATCATAGCCCTTGGATGTGCGGGGCAAACCCACCACAAAGTCCATGGAGATATCTTCCTATTTTCAAACAGGAATGGGCAAGGGCTGCAAATATGCCGGAGTACTCATATGATCTGCTTTAACTCTCCCACAAGTGTCGTACTCCGCGACGTACTGGGTGATATCCTGCTTCATGTTGGACCACCAGTACGAGTGGCGCAAATCATGGTACATCTTGTTGCTACCAGGATGGATAGACAGCTTTGAATGATGGGCTTCATTCAAAATCTTCCTTCTCAGCTCCTCATTTGATGGAACCACCAATCTGTCTTTGTATCTCACTACTCCTTGCTCATCAATACTAAACAAATATGTGACACTATGGGAAGCCTAGCACCGACGTTGTTTAAAAAAGCAAAAAGGAAAAACATCACGACGTTGGATATCTCACACCATAGGAAATAAACGAATATGTGACACTATGGGAAGCAGTCGATCAAATTCAGTTAGATGAAAACTGGGCAGATAGTATCTATTGGCGTTGGACGGCAGATGGTGAATACACAACCAAGAGTGCTTACAGTATCCAGTTTCAAGGGATTTTCAGTAAGTTGAAACTTATGCTGATCTAGAAAGCAAAGGCGGAACTCAAATGTAGATTTTTCGCCTAGACCTTGCTACACAAAAAGATCCTAACCGCCAACAACTTGATGAAACGACAATGGCCAAATGACCCCATATGCAAGCTCTGTGGAATTGACCCAAAGACTCCAACGCACCTATGCAAGGATTGCGTTTTCTCAAAACAAGTTTGGTCATTCTTGAAGCAGTGGTTTGGCCTATCACTTCAAGATTCAATTGCAACAAACGGATCACTACATAACCATTGGCATAGATGCCACGCTAAGATTGAAAGAAGCCAGAGAAAGCTTTTCTACGGCGTGATGATCTATTTTTGGTGGAACGTTTGGAAGGAACGGAATAGAAGAATGTTTCAAAACAGAGCGTTGCAACCAACGCAAGTAGCACTTTTGTGCAAGGAAGACATAGAGCAAAACCAGTTGGCGACAAAGATCAAATGTGCAAGCCATTAAGTTATAGCCGAGTTTTCTTGTGTTTTTTGTTTTTGAAAGGCCAGGAGTTTTTCTGTCTCTTGTCTAATGAGTTTCAGGTAAGGAGGTCAGTGGTCTTTTCCTTTTCGGGAGTTGTAATCAGTGGGGTGGCCAGCCTGCGTGCTGTGATAGTGGTGATTTTTTGGCCACCATTGTATTATGTAATTCTGTTTATTTCCTTTTTCTCGTAATAAAAATCCAGCAAAGCTCTTGCCGCCTTTCAAAAAAAGACTCCTAATAAGCTACCAAATGGTAATTTATGCTTCACATCAACCCCCATTCCTTAGCTCCTTCTAAAGTAATCTAAATTTGCTTTTTTTTCTATGTTTACCGAACACAATTGCTAGGCGGCAAGCAGGAGACTGAGTTACATATGCCCATCACAGGAAAGGAGTAATTGATCTGGAGCTTGACTTAAGGGGGCACAAAGCAAATTGACAAGAGACAAAATATTTGGAGACCAATCTTAATACCACTATCAGGTTTTAATATACAAACTAGAAATAATTCTGTAATGATTGGGTTGTAAGTTGTAATGTTGAATTACAACCTTGTAGTGATAAGTTAATTACTGTCACTCTAGGTTTGTGTTAAACTCCTTTAGTAAGTAGTAACCATTTCCCTACAAATCCATACTTATGGCCATACTATTACCAGGTTTTGGTGACACTGTAATGATCGACCGGTTGGAAACACAGAAAGCAGCTGTGGCAACACAGGTTTGATCAGATGAGGATGGCCATTAGAAAATCCACGCCCGAGGAAACCATATAGGCTGATTTTCTAAAAGTTTCTAGGCTGGTTTTGTTATCCTAATCTGAGTTGTAAACTAGATTTTGACACAAAATTTGTAAGAGTTTCGACCCCTATCAAGAGATGACCTTCTCACCCTATAATATGAATGGGTACAGTTGATCGAGAGACATCCAATCGAACAAATCAGTCTATACTTGTATTTTTGACTATTTTACTCCTTTTGTTCATAATCTCTTCTATCCCCATGTTGTTCATATCTTGATCCTATGACCAAAAAGGTGCCCTAGGCTTGCCATCTGACCTAGGACAACCTGGTAATGTCTATGTCTTGAGCTCCAGTGGCTCTTTGCTAGTTTGCCTAGAAACTAGTCATTCAGCGTCATGTAACCCAAATAGAAATCCTTTGTTGCTTTGCTCATAAACCTAGCCATTTTTCACTATGTAAAGGTGATAGTTATCTTTCATGGGTGAAATCCGAGAAACCGGCTAGAAGGGGTTCCACAAATTGGTTAGGCCGGTTTATGTAGAATCATTGCCGAGTTGATACCGTTGTCATCCACACGTTCTGGTGCTTTAGTGTTTGACCGATCTTTATGTCAACAGTGGGACAAACATTTATTGTAGCCACAAAGCACAACACCAAGGAGTGGTGAACAATCATAACATCCACACACTGGGCACTACAAAGCCTTTCCTTACTAATAACTTGGGGAAGTCTGAAAGGAAAGAAAAAGTCAACTTGCAGTAACACAAATTAACAAGGACCTCACTTCTTTCTTTTTTTTTGATCGGACAAGGACCTCACTTCTAGTGGAAAGAGAACATGATATTGGCTGGAGCATTTGGGCAGTCAGAAATGATGCCATTTTCAGAGGGATCCCTGCAAGCAGTATGCGCTGTTTAGAAATCTTCAAAAGCACCTTTGGTTTGCTCTTATGGAGGGCCAAGAAGAAGTATTTCCCTGCAATTGAGTCATGTCTAGAGCAAGTTGTGTAATTGCTTTGATTTTTTTGTTTCTTTTTTTGTTTCCTGACCCCTCTCTTCTCTTCTTTTCCTTGTTTGTACACTTGCTGTTCTGTTTTTTCCCTGTAACCTCCTTGGTTGCTCTTAATAAAATTTCAGAGTAGAGGTCCCTGGGCCTCTCCTGTTTCCTAAAAAAAAACAGGATATTGGCTGGAGCAAAATATTTGTTCTATCTTATACAACTAGAATAGCATGGTCGTAGTTTTTGTTTTTTCCCAAGCTGGTTATTAGACAGTTTTCTAAAAACTAAATCTCTCACCTGTATCAATCAAACAGGCATGGCGTCATGACAGTTCATTTAGAAGAAAAAAAAACTTATGCATTGATCAGAAGCAACAAAAGGTCAACGTAGGGACTTCATGTGTGTTCTTACCAGCAGCAGCTTTTCCATCTCTCGCGGCGCCCTTTTGATGGAGAAGCAGCTCCATGACCTCCGCCGTCCTCCCACTGTAGACTGCGCGATAGAGGGAAGGGCACATGCTGATGAGCAAGTGTGCAGCATCGTCATTTGGCTGCTTCGTCGGCGTCGCATTTGCCAACGAATCACGCAAAGGACCGGCGAGCTGCACGCAGTGCTGCCGACAACAATCCATCGGATCAAGCTGCTTATTACGCCGTTGCTGGAGGGTAGGCGATGGGCAGCTGCGTGTGAATATATATAAGATGAAACCGCGCTCTGGATCAGTCACACGGTTAAGACTCCAGCTAGATGCAAATATTTGTCTTTTATGTTTGTGATGCTACTAGCATGTAGAGAGAGAAGGGCGGCAGACGGGCGAGAAATGAAATGCAAAAAGCTTGTATCATTCGACCGGCGGCCTTGTTTCACTTTGCTGGATGCTGGCCATGTGACCAGGTCGCCACCGTGGTACAAGAATGCAGGCTCAGTCCTCAGATTCCTGAAGCCCAACCAGGGTCAAAATGAACTCGGCTCCGCTTAATATAAACACCAGCCTTAACAATGATACTCAATATGTGTATATGAATTGTTATCAATGAATACCAGAAATGCCTCCAAAAGTAGTATTCACGTTGACAACAAAATTTGGCTAGCCCAGGGCATGATTTCACATCGATAATTGGCCGGATAATAGATTTAGAGATCATTCGGCTATTAAGCAGTCATCGTCGTTGTTTTCTTTCGAAGAATCTGGATGGGCCAAAGCCCCTACAGTAGAATAATTAAATTAAAGAGGAAAAAGTCTATTTAACCTCTCACCTTTCATACTTGGTCTACTTCACCCCCAACTATGAAATCGTCTGTTTTACCCCCTGAACTTTCCAAAACCGTCTATTTTACCCCCCCGGGCGGTTTTTACAGTAACGGTGGGTTTGAATTTTCTTTTTTTTTTATTTTCGGTGAATTTTTAAAAAATCATAGAAAAATCATAAAATGAAAAATCTAATTTTATTGGACTCCACATGAGTAGATCTACACAATGAATATATAATACGGTATGCTTTAGTACAAATTTTTTTTGTAGCTTTAGATTAATTGGAAAATCTAATTTTTTCTGTAATTAAATAGAATTTATCTATAACTAAGTTATACATAGTCCAATGAGTACGAAATTTTTACTATAGTTCAAGCATACAATAATTAGCGTACCATAAAAATTTCACCACAATTGGACCATAGAAGCTGCAGCTATGAATTATTCAATTAATTACAGACAAAATTAGATTTTCCAATTAATCTAAGGCTACAGTAAAAAATTTTGTATTAAAGGATACCGTATTATATATTTACTGTATAGATCTACTCATATGGAGTCCAATAAAATTAGATTTTTTATTTTATGATTTTTCAAAAATTCACCGAAAATAAATAAAAAAAAGAAAATTCAAACCCAACGGCACTGTAGTAAACCATCGTTACTGTAGCAAAACCCGTTGTTACTGTAGCAACCACTGTCAAAACCGCCCGGGGGTAAAATAGACGGTTTTGGAAAGTTCAGGGGGTAAAACAGACGGTTTCATAGTTGGGGGATGAAGTAGACCAAGTATGAAAGGTGGGGGGGTTAAATAGACTTTTTCCAATTAAAGACAAACCAAACATACAACAGTTACAAGGAAGCTCAAGAAATAAAAAAAAAAGAAAGAAAGGAAAAAATGCATTTCTTTTTCTAAATTACAACCAGCTTTGGATCCATGAGCAGAAATCTTCTGAACGACTTTCTTTTACTCTGATTGAATTTAAGGTCATCTCCTTATTAAAAGCAGTTTTCTTGACTGAAGGTCAGGGCCTATTCCTTTGAAAATCAGGTTGTTGTGAGCACCCCAGATTGTCCAACACATGATTATCACAGCATTCATAAAGAATTCAGGATTCAGTTGGTTTCTGAAATGCATATTCACTTGAGGGAAGGAAGCCTTATCTGGAATTTGTATGTTGACGAGATTCCAACAGAACTTTGCAAAAGGGCACTCCAGGAAGAGGTGGGTGACCGTTTCTTTGGTTGGGAGATGACAGAGCTCACAGTTATAGGAGTTCAAGTGCATGTTTTTTCTTCTTAGGATGTTTCTTGTACTCAATTGATCTTTTAACAGCAACCAAAATAAAACTTTGTGTTTCGGTTGGTAGAAGGTCTTCCAAAGCCGGATAAAAGTAGGATGGACTGTGTGATGGCCTATTAACTTCTTGTAGGCCTTGGTTGCTGCAAATAGATTAGATCACTAGACATAACCCCAAGAGTCATTTTCAGTTGTGAAGTTTATACTATCCAGGATGTTGGTTAGGTTTATCCTTTGGGAGTATGCCAAGTCAGAAAGAGGCAGGTGGAAGAGCTGACTGAGATGACTATGTTCCATTGCTTTACTGATTGAGATGGTTTTGTTTCTTGCAAAAGAGTGTAGAGTTCGGTAAATTTAAGTTTTGATGCCTCGATCCACCATCCAATTTTCTTCCCATAACTGACAGGTCTACCCACTGTGTAATTGAATTGAAGTTAACCCTTTGTATTCCTTCAAAATTTTCAGATCGCCCCTCCACCAAAAGCTTCCTTTCATGAGATTGCCAGGCAACTTTCCATTTGGGTATAGCTTCTCCCATACCAAGTTGACCCAAGCGATATCCAATCTGTTAAAAAATTTATGCAGGTTCTTCATCAGAAGAGCTTCATTTTGTTTCCTTAAGTCCAGGATCCTCAAGCCACCCTTTTCTGAGGAAGACAGACCATTTCCCAAGTAGCTTTAGGTGGTTTCTAGCATTAGCTTCTGACTCTCTCCAAAGGCAATGCTTTCTGCGCTTGTCTATTTGCTTTATCACAGATGGTGGCAATGTTAAGGTGCACATGAAGAAAGTTGGCATTGAGGAGAAGACTGAATTGGTTAGGTCCAATCTACCATCCTAGAAAAGGAAGGTGGAGACACTTGCAACTTGCAAGTCTTCTTTCACATTAGTTCACCAGGGGTAGAAAATATTCCACTTTAGGCTTAGTGATACCTAGAGGCAGCACCAGGTATGTGAAAGGAAATGAGCCCTTGTCATAGCCAAAAGTTCTAGCTAAATGGTCTAGTTTTTCCTCAGATAGGTTTATTGGGACCATCATTGATTTCTAGAAGTTAATCTTTAGTATAGTAGAAGGAGAGAAAGAGTTTAACAGTGCTTTCAGAAAGAACAGTTGGTTGGCTTTGCCTTTTAGAATGATTAGTGTATCATCAGCATACTGCAGTATTGGAAAATCCCCATTGGAGGTTAGAGGGACTGGAAGATTTAGTAGCCCCATTTCCTTTGCCTTATTAACCATAGACCGAAGAAAATTACTCCCTCCATGTCCCTAAAAAAAGTCATTTTGGACATCAACACGGTCTCCAAAAATAACTTTGACTGCTACTTTTTGTTATAAAATATTTACAAAACATGGTCAATATAAACTTTTATAAAACTACATCTCGAGATAAATCTACTTACATCACTTTTATATTTTCAAACTTAGTCCAAAAGAATTTATTTGTAGTCAAAGTTTAAAATGTTTGACTTAAGACAATCTCAACACGACTTTCTTTAGGAACATGGAGGGAGCAACTGCGAAAACAAATTGCAAAGGTGAGAGAGGGTCTTCCTGTCTTATTCCTCTTCGCCAGTGTATTGTTTTGCCTGGGACGCCATTCATTAGCACTCCTGAAGTTCTAGAAGAAAGGATTTGTTTCATCCAAGACAACCAATTTTCACCAAAACCTCTTGCTTTTAAGATTGTTAAAATTGCTTAATGCTCATTCTTGTCAAAAGCCTTCTCAAAATGCAGTTTTAAAATTACAATATCTTTTTTTGAGTGGTCGCAGAGATGCAAGTATTCAAATGACCAAGCTAGGCAGTCCTAGATTGTTCTTTACTTGATGAAACCATATTGGTTTTTTGTGAAATAGTCTTGTGATAAAGTTCTGCACCCTATTAGCAAGCAGTTTTGTCAGGAGCTTGACTGAAGAGTTTAATAGGGAAATAGGCCTCAACTCTGATGTGTGTTGAGCACCATCAGTTTTTGGAATTAAAGTTATGTAAGACTTGTTTATGCCTCTGAGGCAGATTATGTTCTGCTGAAGGTTCTTAAATAGGTTATAGAAATCATATTTGATGATTGGCTGGCATCTTTTGAGAAACTCATTGCTAAACCCATCAGGACCTAGTGACTTGTCGTTAGGTAAGCTTTTAACCACACCATCAATTTTAGCTTCAGTGAAGTCTGATTCAAGATCCCCCAGAAAATCATCAACTCTATCAATGAAGGTTTCTGGTTGTATAGAAAACTCAGTGAATTCTGAGGTTCCCAATCTGTCTTTAAAGGCTTGCCACAAGAGAATCTCCTTATCTTTGTGACTAGTCATAGTGGTTTCATCATCAGAAAGTAGGTGATGGATTAGATTTTTCCGGTATTTGATGGTTGCACTTGCATGAAAGAATTTTATGTTTGCATCACCAAAATTTGTCCCTTTTATTGTCCCTCTTTGCTTCCAATAGGTTTTCTAAAGGTTGAGAATGAGAGTTAGCTTGTCTTTCAAGGTTTCTCTGAAGTTCTATTCAGGTAAGCTTAAATCTCTGAATTCTTCTAGTGTTTCAAGAAGTTGTAAGTAGACTTTACCATTGTCTCTATTCTATATTTTTTAAGGATAAGGGAGGGGGTTGTCTCCTTTATTTAGGAGAGTTGATGCTTCTTTTAGGAGATCTCTTAAAAATTATAGGCATAGGAGATGAGATAGGATATCTGCTACAGCTCCTCCGTCTCCTAAAACATTGCTTTTTAGGTATAGGAGATTAGACAGGGTATCTAATGGAGATGCTCTTAGAATACTCCTAAAATAAAAGGATGCACGTGTGATGGTCTGGAGATACGAAAAGAGGAGAAAACAAGGGTGGCGTGGAGAGTGATCAAAGTGTCTACCATGGGTATAGGGAACGTGTGCCGTAAAGAACAAAGGAAATAAAGGAAATCTTATTCAGTTATATAATATGAGATAGAATTGTATCTTCAGAAAGACTAGCTACACTATTGGTGTCAAGGGTGATGGCCGATTGAATCACCCATAATCGAATGTATCAAATATAACTTCTATCTTTCCAACCCTAACTACTGTTTGTCATCTACCATCTCTATGG